CTTGTAAGTGAAAACTTTGAGTAGGTAAGTAAGTTTGGATAATGAGAATAGTAGTTTCTAACTTTTGACATGAGGGTAAAATAGTATCTTTAGTAGATGGCCTCTCCACCGGAAAAGGGATAGTAATAACATTTATAAAATCCAAAACCGTAAGGCAACTGCTAAATAAATTAACCATGCATGCAAGTCAAAGATATCTAAAATAAATGACACTGAGCTTGCAAAGAACTCAAAGAAAACAACATGGTATTATAGATTAACTTTTATAGTGATATAGTACTAATTACACCCTAAGTTAGTTAAAAAGGCTTATTAATCAATAAAAAGTATAATAAGGGCATTTTGGTCATTTTACACATCAAAACTTAGAAAATAACACATTATGACATAAAACATGTTATAATATACATTTAGGCTCTAAATAGCCATTATGTGGTTTGTCTTAGCATAATTAAACTTGAGTCAAAGTTTAGTTAAAGACAAGGCTTTCATAATGGCATTTTTGTAAATATAGGGACTTAGGGCATGTGAAAGGGGAAAGAAGAAGAGATGAACAGAAAATTTTGGTTTACAGCATAAGTTTGCCCTAAACAGCCACAAAATCCACAAGCCCAGCATAAATTTAAAATAAAGATTTTGAATGTTACAAGGCAAAAAAAAATTTTTAAAAAAAGAGGTAAAGGGGCTTAATTGAAAATTTTGGGAGTGTTTGCACATTTAACATTTTAATTGAGTTTTTCTAGAATGAGTTTGTAAATTCATTTGAGCAAGTAGTCAATAGTTCACACTACATTGTATACATGTAACTTTGTTTAATTTAATTCACATTAAACGTCCTTCCCAATCTTTTAGAAGAATTCATAAGTCCAAACATCTAATAGGTCTTGGGTATGCATTTCCAACAACACTAACCCCATGTTTGGTTTGAGGGAAAAGGAAGGAGAGGAAGGGAAGGGAGGGGAGGGGAGGGGATGGGAAGACAATATCCTTCCATTTCCCTCTGTTTTGCTCCCCTCCCATTCCCTAGTTTGGTTATGCTAAAATTATAATAAAGAAAGTTAAAGGGGAGCTCCTCCCCTCCCTTGCCTTCCCTTCCCTTCAATTTTTGCTATTCAAATAGCAAAATTTGTCCTACTCCCATCAAACCAAACAAGCTATAAAGGATTACTACATCCTTGCAGCATGTTTGGTTGGAGGTAATGGCAATTCTTTCATCAAACTATAAAAATAAGATAAATTTGGGAAGGATTAAGAAATGGGTATTCCTTCATTCTTGAAAAGTTAGACATTAAGCTTTGCTTTTGCTATTCCTAGCTTCATATGGAAGTGCTTGTTTTTAAGGAGTATCCACCACCGCCAACCAAACAAGTCTTTACAGATTAAAACTCAAGAAGTTTACCTCTGGCTTCCAAGATCCGAAGCTTGAACAATTCCGAAAACCGTAAAATGTCAAAGCGACAATCCAAATCTAGGAACATCACTAAACGCCCAAGTCCTCCATACTTGATGCCATCCGACTCTTGAGGCAGGATGCAGTTGATTGCAGCCTGCAATTTTGAACAATCCCACTTAGATTAATGTAAGTACAAAGAAAAGAGAACTGGTGGATCAGAGTTGAAGCAGGATTACCTGAATCAAGGTGTGGGTTTTGGCGGAAGGAGAAGGACCAACAATTTCGACGACATTGCCGACGCGCAGAGGAACCCGATGAAGAAGAGGAAGAAGCAAGAAGGGCCGCTCCGTCTGAACCCTATCGAGCATCTCCTTGGCGCTCTCGTCTTCAACAAGCCATTCCTGGGAACCATAATTGCTTTTCTCGAACAAAATTTGCCGATAAAAGGTCTGCTGAATTGGGGAAACACACCTATGCAACTGCTCGAACAGCGCTAGACTAGGCGCGGGTATATTGAACATGCATATTTTATGAAATTATTTAAATATTAAATTTTTTTTTATATATTTATTATCTAATTAGGGTAAAGTATTACTCTTAAAAAATATAATGATAGGTTAATTATAACTGGTAAATTTAAATTACATTTCTAAACAAAAATTTAAGGTGATTTGATAAAAAAATTTAATTATAAATTACATCAATATTTTTTAAGTAATAATTTATTTCAATGGAGACAATTTTAAAGAAAATTGAGGCATAATCCAAAAACAACAAAATAAAGTCTATAACCAGAAAAAGAATAAAAGGGGATTTTGACGGTTAATAAATTTATTTATTTTTTAACAAAACTATTACTTAGCTAAAATAATGCTTGCAAAAAAAAAATTTCCTAAGAAAGAATGCTCCAGTTAATTAATCAATTTAATTAATTATTACAAATTAAAAAAAAAAAAGTCTATGCCCTAAAAAAAAATAAAAGGGGATTTTGATGGTTAATGAACTTATATTTTTTAACAAAACTATTACTTAGCTAAAATAATGCTTGCAAAAAAAAAATTTCCTAAGAAAGAATGCTCCAGTTAATTAATTAATTTAATTAATTATTACAAATTAAAAAAAAAAAAGTTTCATGGCCTTATGGCCCAGTCCAGTTATTCCATTCCATTCTTTTTTTAATTGCCCAAAACTGAATAAGGCTCGGCCCAAAAGAAAAGGAAAATGAAAAATAGAACAATAAGAAAATAAAAAAGACTCCGACCATATCATCAATTCTTATCATCTCATCACTTCAGCTTTAATGGGCTTGGCTGGTCCAAAATAACAATCATTGAAGACGTTTTATCCAAGGTTTTGAAAACCGAACCGGATCAGATGGTCAGACTGATTGAACCAGTACCTGGTGATCTAAACGGTTTGATTACACCTTTTGAACCGTTTAAACGGTTAAACCATTTGAAACCACTCGAACCGATGAACCATTTGGAACCGCTCAAATCGTTCAACCGAACGGTTCAATGCCTGGGCATAAAATCTTGAGAAATTTGTGTCCGCTGGGATTTGAACTTGCAACCTTAGAGTCTTTGGGTTGATCCTTTGCCACCAGGACAATGCATTAGTCAATGAGTGCTTGGACTTTTATTTAACCCATATAAATCCCAAAGATTTTAACCTTATTACTGATTACAACCTTGAGATTTGAACACTTAGTCTTCATGTTGTAGAACGACGGTTTTTCCACTTTTACACAATGTTCTTTTGTCATTTTAATGCTTTATAATGTACTTATTCTACTTTGAAGCACAATTATATTAAAATTTGTTATTGGAGAGACTTGAACTCCCAACGGTTTTACCGGTTAAATCGATTGAACCGTTCAAACCACGAACCAGAGGTCAAAACGGTTTGACCTCCGGTTCGGGTTTGAAAACATTGGTTTTATCATTACCTTCCACTTTCGTGCTGCCGTTACTCCATCGGAAACGGCCAAAAGCTACCACTAATCAATATCCATTGTCAATTGCTCCACATGTCCTTTTGCTCTTTCCCATTCGAAATTGTAGGAAACTACCCTTATACCTTCTAGCGGTTTTTATCGGTGGTAATTAGAGTTTGGAGGCAAGGAGGAAGAGGCAGCTTGGACCAACTCTAGGATAAAGAATCCATCATACAATTTTCAATTTCTCTGCATCTTCCAATCCAGAAGGTAATTAAATTGAATTTGAAGGTGGGTTTTTGAATTTGATATGGGGGTTTCAAATTTTGATTGCTAATCTCAGTTCTTCATGGTGACCCATTCCTTTTCCTTTGTCCGCTCTCTTTACCACCACTGACCATTCGATCATCATCAACCTTGAACTTCAGATCGTGGAGAGCCAAAGTTCAAGAAGCACGAAGAGAACCGAGGGAATTAGAGAGGGGATTGAAAGACAAAAAAAAAAAAAAAAAAA